ATAAGTAAAAAGAAAATTGTGGGGTTAAAGTTATGGAAGAGAGATTGCTTTCCATTGGATTCTTGGAGAGTGAGTTATCAATGATGGGCATATTGGAGTCATAATTATCTTCAAAATTAAAAATAAAAAATTAAATTAAAATTAAAAATCTACTTTAATGGTGATGATGTTGATGGTAATGGCCAACCTAATCCCTAACCCTACAAATGTAAAACATTTTTTTTTAGAAATTTTTATAACAAAAAAAAAAAATCAATTCTTATTTATTTTATAAAGAATTAAAAAAAAAATTAAACTCGTGGATCGGGAAACTTCAAATTTTTACGATATTAGATAAATAAATAACTTTAAATTATCAAAAGTTTTAATAATATTTTTAAAGTAGCTTGGAATATAAAAGGTATTAAAAATTAAAAAAAATTAAAAAAAATAAATAAATTATATTTTAAAATTTGATTTATTGAAGGCAATTTGATTTTGAGTTGCCTAAGTGTGGGTAGAGACACAAAGTTACTTTTAATGGCATGTGCGCTACGAAAAAGAAGCTAAAGTCAGGTCATATGATAGCTATAACTCATATTATATGATACTAATTTCTATTATGCTATCGATATTGAAAAATTCGTTTCAATTTAGTATTTAACGTTTGGGTTTTTATTTGTGTTTAAATCTTCTATAATTTGTTCGTATGAGTTGTTCATATTATTATCGGATTGACACATTTCAATAAAGAAACCTTGATTACTTGAATCTAAGAACCCTCGTAAACACCTGGATATGCAAATCTTTAGTTCACAAATACTAAGTTTCTTTATAATTTTATGTAGTTTAAAATCATTCAAGCTTGACATGATCCATCTTTCAATCTCAAAGAAAGCATGAATGCTCTTTTTACTACTATCTTTCAAAATGTAAACGCTTGACCTTAAATAAGATATTTCAAGAGTTGTAATCTTCCTATTTTATGATCATACTTAGCCAAGAGATAGATGTAACCTTAAAATAAAAAATACAGTAAAGAAATATCATGACTCTAGATTATGATCAGCACAAAATTTGCAGCCATCCAAAAATATTTTAATGTGGCATGAATATTACAACATTTTCTTCACAATTTTTCTTAAAATTTATATTGCATAATTGGTGTTTTTGTTCATATCACATTTTTAGAACAACATGAACGGACGTTCTTTTCAATTTGACCCATGTGCTTAGTTGATTGTATTAATGTATATGAGATCAGTGAAAAATAGGAGATCGATGGAATTTTAGATATTAAAATTATATGAACCAAATTTATAATTTTAACTTTAAAACGAGTTCATTTAATTTTTTTAAAATTAAGTATAATTATTTTTTAATAATCTTATTTAAAGGGTATATAAATATTTGAATTAAGAAGGTAGGGGTATTATTGGAAAATGAAGAAGTTTAAGAAATTGGGGTTTCGCTTGAGTGGGGTATTAGAGACAGTAAAGAACCTTTGAATAAACTTGAGGTAAAGGGTAAGGGAAGGAATATCCAAAAATGCATTTTATTTATTTATTAATTAATTAATTTATTTATTTATTTATTAAATTTTTTAAAGTCCAAGTTATCCTTGTCTCCAAACCAATTCTATTCCTCTTCCCCTCATTTTGCTTTGTATAAATGCTTTTCAACTCTCTACTTTTCTTGTACCAAAAAAACATGGCTCCACCTCTTCATCAAATCTCTCTCTTTTTCTTCATTCTAATCATTTTCTCATCAGGTAATTTTCTATTTTATTTGTTTTTTTTTTTTTAATTTTCAATCTCGACTATACACTGTTTTTTCAATTAAGATGTCGAAAACTTGAATTTTTAACTGTGAGATTCTATGTCGGTTGGAGAGGGGGAATGAGACGTTCATTATAAAGGTGTAAAAACCTTGAGAGAAACCCTGAAAAGGAAAGTCAAAAAACGACAATATCCAGTGGATTTGGGCATTTACAAATTCTATTAGAGCCCGACACTAGGGGTGTACATTTAACCCGACAACCCACACCAACCCAACTCAAACTATAGGGCTGGGTTGGGTTGAGTTGGATTAGCATTTCAGATAGAATTGAGTTCATTTTTTCTAAACCCAAACTGAATCGGTTCGGTTTCCCGTTCATGGCTAAATAAAAATATATAAAATATATTAAGAATCTTTCTGAATTAATGGGTCTGGCATGGTGGTATTTATTATCTATTTGTTTCAACATTATTATATCACAACTTATATATATTTTTATTTTTCTAATAGTTTAGGACGAGCTACATATAAATAAGCATATTTCAATTAAAATATATATATATATATATATATATGTATATATTTTTTTTATTTTTGTTTATACAATACCTTTGAACTAATGATTTGTATTGTTTATTTAATTTCATGATCTATCTTTATATTTTTCTTATCTTAATTAATTATCAAGAAATTTCGATATTTAGTTGTTTTTAGTTTTATGACAATGTTGAATTATGTTAATATGTTACAAATTTTGGTCGTTGTTTTTTTATTGAATTTGTTTTTTTTTGTCCATCGTTATAGATTGATTTATGTTTGTGTGTAAACTTTTTAATATATTTTATCTAACATTGTATGCCAAAGATTATAAATGGTGGATAAATAAAACTAAAAAAATATGACAACCCAACTCGAAAATAGAGGGTTGGGGTGGGTTGTGAAAAGTTTTGAGTTAGGTTGGGTTACCAACTAACCAACTCGAATTTTTGGGTTGGGTAAAAAAAATCCTCCAATCCGATCCAACCCGGACCATGTATACCCCTACCAGACACCAGACAGTGTACCAGTGAGGATGCTGGGTTCTTAAGGGGGGCGGATTGTGAGAGAGTCATGCACAGCAGCGGTGTACCAACGAGGACGTTGGATCCCTAAGGACATAGGATTGTGAAGACGCTGGATCCCACATGGGTTGAAGCGGGAAATGAAGTACATCGGAGAAAGTCCAATCCCCTCTAAATCATAATAGAATTAGAAAATCCACGTGGATTCCTTAGAACATTATTAAAAAAGTAACTAAAAAAAATGAAACAGATTTAAATTTAACTTATAATTTAAAAAATTGTTTAATATGAATGAATATAAAATATTTTATTATTTAATTTTTATTGGCAAAACGGCAGAAATAAGAACATCGGAGAGCTCTCGAACTTTCACCATAATAAACAACTGCAAAGAAACGATCTGGCCGGCGATCTTCCCAGGAGAGCATTTCAACGGCGGCGGTTTTGCACTAAAACGCGGTCAATCCATAGTTTTCAAGGCGCCAGTAGGCTGGTCCGGTCGGATATGGGGTCGAACCGGTTGCAACTTCGACCAGACCGGAAACGGGCAATGCCAAACCGGTGCCTGCGGAACTTCCCTCAAATGTCAAGGCTCTGGAGAGACTCCGGCATCCCTCGCCGAATTCACCCTCGCTGCCCTCGATTTTTACGACGTCAGCCTCGTCGACGGCTTCAATTTGCCTATGGCGGTGACGCCAATCAACGGAACCGGAAAGTGCGGCCTGGCCGGCTGCGATAGCGATTTGAGATCCAATTGCCCGTCGGCATTGGCGGTGAAATCGAAAGGGAAAGTCATCGCCTGCCGGAGCGCCTGCGATGTGTTTAACACCGATGAGTACTGTTGCAGAGGATCTTATGGGAATCCGTCGACTTGCCGGCCGACGGTTTACTCTAAGAAATTTAAGGAGGCGTGTCCGACGGCGTATAGTTATGCGTACGATGATCCGACCAGTATTTTCACCTGCAACGCCGCCGATTACGTCGTCAGCTTTTGCTCCGGCAGGTAAAAATTTAGAAAAATTAATTTAAAAATATTAATTTTAATTTTAATAAAATAAAATGAGTAATAAATAAAAAAAAATATTTGACTCTAATAAAAGATTAAAAGTTAAACTATAATTCAATACTAAATATTCTTAATATGCAGGAACCACAAGGTGTGTAGTTACCATGACCACAAGCTCGTCTGCAGTGGTTCAAATGGCTTGAAATCGTTCGTCGTAGGGTGGTGGCCTCTAATGACAGCTGTTTTAATTGTGATCAATTTATGGGTTCTTTTTTAATCCCTACTTCTATATTTTCATGTACATACATTTTTTTTAATATTTTAATTCGATTGTTTTGTTAGAGTGCAAAATAATGAATTGGATTGGGTTGACGTGTGAACTAATAATATATTTTAATTCGATTGTTTTGTTAGAGTGCAAAATAACGAAAAACGACATTTTATTTCCAATATCTTAATATTTCTTTATGAGGCACATCGAAACTTGAATTTTGAAGAACAAGCATCTTTAATATTGTACTTATGAGCTTAAAACCGAAACCCTAATTTAGAAACACTGGGTCGTTTGAAGCACGCATGTGAAAAAACTTAATCATGACAGATATTTTTCGGAATTATTGTGATGTTTAAACTCGATGATTTCGACATGTACAATTGGCGATCAACATCCAAAAATGATCTCGCTCTTGGCTAATTTTCGTTCAATTGGCGTCGGGTACTTTCGACGGTCTTTTGTTTGCGTTTTAAGGTAGGGCGGTTCCAAAAAGCTATCTTCTCTTTCTAATATCTTAATATTTTTTCAGGAGACCGTACCGAACTTGAGTCATGATTGAGTTAAGATTCCGTACGTGTATTTTAATGTCTAATTGATTTATGTCTTATTTTAACTTTTTTTTAATTAAAATGGAAAGATTAAGGTTCTATTAAATACACGTTTAATTTTATACCTAAAAAAAATGAATTATTTATAGAAAAATTTGTATATATTCGAAATTTATTAGACATGAAATCGATTATTAGAAATATTTTAAAATTTTCAGACCTATTAAATATAAAATTCAGCATTCAAGCATTTATTAGATATTTTAAATATTTTTTAAAGTTAAAAAATGAATCTAAAATTTGTAATTTAATACAAAAATTAAAAGTGATAATATATATATAAATAAAACGAGTTTCAAGCTTCGTCAGACCACAGAGATCGAAAATGGCGGGTGCTGGTGGCGGAAAGGTCTCCTTCAAAGTGACCCTCACCTCGGACCCTAAGCTCCCTTTCAAAGTGTTCGTAATCTTAAACCTTTGATCTTTCGTTGTTAGGGTTTTTCTCCCTGTTCAGACTTAAGATCCAATCTTACGGTCTTTCAATTTCCTTGACTCTCAGGTTTAGTGTTCCAGAGGCCGCGCCATTCACCGCTGTCCTTAAATTTGCCGCTGAAGAATTTAAGGTGCCATCATCACCAATGGTAATTGATTGCCTCCGTGTTGATTTGTTCCTTGAATTTTGATTCGATTGTGATTGGATTCTGCATGCGTGAAATGTCTCTTGTATTTAACAATTTGGGATCGGAAATCGCCGATTCAGGTAGTTCTAGAAACTAGAAATGGTATTGAGTTCCTGGCGCCCACAATAGAGAAACGAGTATCAGTCATTGTTATTATTGTTATCATTTATGAGTTCAATTGTGAGCCTAGAGATTCAGCCTCTGTTGGGAGGTATATGCCTTAACCTGTTGTGCTAGGCTTTGCCTGGCAGATAGGTTAGTATTAGTTTTAGAGCGCAATTTCTTATTCATCTTACCTAGAAAGTAATTACGCCCTTTCTTATTGATGAAAAGTTGGGGTTTTCCCCATCAGAAACGTAAGTTGTTCTTGAATCGTTCCAAATTACTTCATTGATCGAGTGGTGTCAATCTGTATCCAAACCATATTACTATAGCTTATTTGAATTTTATTGCTCTGAAGATTCGAGTGTTAAAAGATCGTCAACAGTACTTTAATATGAGAAAAGTCGAATGTCATCGAACAAACTACTGCACGTTTGGAAATGTGTTGGTTATCTTTGATGTTAGTTGAACTTTCCTACATTGTTCTTCATATTTTTTATCCTGTCATGAGAGTGCTAGTGATTCTTTCTTTTTTTTTTTTTTTGTATTTTTTTTGTATTTTAGGTCAGAGAGATTCCTGTTCATAATAGTTTTTATTGTACAAGTACTAATATGGAAGCTAAAGTACTTAGGCTTTTCTTCCCAGATAAAGAAAAACCAACACCTTTGAACTTGCAAATAGTTGAGCTTATTTGCAACTGCTGGGTGCTTGAGCTAGCTATTCAGTTGCCTCATGATTTCACTGATATCTTATGGAAGAAGGGTCGGAGGTTGTGCATTAGAATTTGTAAACTATGAGATGTGGACCGTTGTCATGTTTCTGTTGTTGCTGACATTGATAGGTGTTAGTGTGAGATCCTACGTCAGTTGGAGAGGGGAACGAAATATTTCTCACAAGGGTGTGGAAATCTCTCCCTAGCCGATGCATTTTAAAACCATGAGGCTGACGGCCATACGTAATGGACCGAAGCAGATAATATTTGCTAGTGGTGGGGTTGGGCCGTTACAGTTAGATACTCTTTGCACTATTCTTTTTATGGGGAAAATATCTAAGAATCCAATACAAGCACAACATTTCTCTTGTAGAGACTTTTGTACCAGCCATATAATGGTCCTTGGATTCACATTGCACATATGCTTTTAGATGCACTGATATTATAGTTCTCATTTCAGCCATTTAGCCTCTCATTTTAGGTGTTAACATTTATCGTATGCCTTACAGATGGCGTTGGAATCAACCCTCAGCAAAGTGCTGGTAAGCTAAGTCATGGTTCTATTCTTAAGCTCTACAATTCATTGTCCTTGCTTCTGTTCTGTTTATTCTTCTTGTTATTTAAGTTTTCCAACCATAGAAGCATATGCTGAACTGTTTTACGTAGAGAAAAAACAGTTGATATATGGATGGAGTAAATACCGTGAGAGGGGAACGGAATACTAACCTTTCCCTAGCAAACGCGTTTTAAAAACTTTGAGAGGAAGCTCAAGGAGGACAATATCTTTCTAGTGGTGGGCTTGGGCTGTTATAGATATTGGTGTTTCATGAGCCAAAGGCACCACCATTGCCCGAAAGCTAAAACATAACAATTGATGTTTTCTTCTTTAACGCCCATCGCGAATGTTAAGAACCTTACCTTTGAAACTCGAAATCAGATTGTATTTTTCTTTTATTCTTCCCGGATTACATCCTGCGCCGGGTGCTTCCTCAAGCATGAGATACATTTTGTGTTTGTTCTAAATTTTAACATATTGGTCGATATTGCCATAAACTTTTACATATTCCTACTGCCAAACAGCCTACAATTGTGGCCATAATATTCCATTTGAAGCTGAAATTTATGGTTGATGTGCTTTTTGCAGGCAATGTCTTCCTCAAGCACGGCTCTGAACTACGCCTGATTCCTCGTGATAGAGTCGGAGCTGCTGGATCTATGAGAATGTAAACTACAATACTCGCCTTAGTCAACTGGCTCCACACTTTTTTTTATCACATTACTGCAATTGATGAGATGAGAACCAATGTCTGCTTATCCTTTCGATTTCACTAGAATCAATAAAACATAAAAAGTGTTTCGTCCCATTGTTACAGGATCCGAATGAAGAATTGCTAATTAATGAAAGGTCCTCTACATCCCGGATGAAACTTGAGAGTATACTACTTCTATGAATAGCTCTTTAACGCTGCATCTGAGAAAGCAAACGGTATGGAGACTCCGTAGGTGGATATCAATTTTATTTTTCTTATTGTGAAAGCTAATCATGTTTGTTTTTGTTTAGTTATTTACTTAGAACACTCTTCCAACTCAAAATTAGAATTCAATGAGTTCAAATCTAATAGAAATACTCTAAACTTAAGTTTTAATAATACTTTTAATCTAAAAAATATTTTTAAATTAAAAAAATTAAAAAAATCCGACATAAAAAAATTAATATTTTGTTTTAAAAATATTCTTAAACTAAAATTTTTATTAATTTAGTCGAGAAAGAAAGCTTGAATGATCAATGTCTGGACTGGAGAGCTTGATTTGAAGCCGAAGTTGGAGAAGCAAGTGCAGAAAGCCATAAGAAACTCGCAAAACTCTGTTTCCTCTTCCTGCCGATTTCAGACATTCTTAACATTGGCAACAGAGCTCGAAATGCTCTGCCCCATCAAAACCCACCTTCCGCCGCTTGTCCATGCTACACCACCGTCATATTCTTGTACACTACAAGAAACTTCGATAATCCTACAGTTCGAGCTCCTATGCAGATACCAAATTTAGCGCACAGTAACGTAGCTGAAGCTAACCCCACATTTCTCATCAAGACGTACGAACATGCCTGCAGAAGGATAGTATAATTCCCACGTTTTTGTTACTCATGTTTACGAACTGCATAGCGAAGGAATTGCGCCATTGCGCGCAAGTTAGAGCTTTCAGGCGAGGCAATTCCCTTCATGCTTACTTGAGGAAATTTGGGTGTTTGAACGATGTGTTTATTGCGAACAATTTGATTTCGATGTACGCGGAGTTTTCGAATTTACGAGATGCAGAGAAGGTGTTTGATGAAATGTCTGACAGAAATATTGTTACTTGGACCACCCTGGTTTCTGCATTTACTGATAGTGGAAGACCTTATGAGGCACTCCGAGTGTATGATGATATGCCGAAATCTGAGACGGCCAATGGGTACATGTATTCCGCGGTTTTGAAGGCATGTGGGCTTGTGGGTGATTTGGATCGGGGTAAGTTAATTCAAGAAAGAATATATGGGGGTAAGTTGCAGGGTGATACTATTTTGATGAATTCTCTTATGGATATGTATGTGAAATGTGGAAGCTTGAGTGATGCGGTGAAGGTTTTTCACAATATTTCACGTGCGACCACAACTACTTGGAATATCATTATTTCTGGGTATAGTAAGGCCGGTTTGATGGTGGAGGCTGAAAAACTTTTTCATTGTATGCCACAGCCAAATGTTGTGTCTTGGAACAGCATGATTGCTGGCTTTGCAGACAATGGGAGTCAGCGGGCGTTGGAATTTGTGTCCTTGATGCACAGAAAGGGAATTAAGCTTGATGATTTCACATTTCCATGTGCTTTAAAGATCAGTGCGCTTCATGGGTTATTAGTCATCGGGAAACAAATTCATTCCTATGTCACCAAATTGGGGCATGGATCTAGTTGTTTTACACTGTCTGCTCTGATTGATATGTATTCAAATTGCAATGGCCTGACCGAAGCAGTCAAGTTGTTTGACCAACACTCTTCCTTCAACCCTTCCATTTCTGAGAACCTGGCACTGTGGAACTCGATGCTCTCAGGATATGTTATCAACAACTGTGACCAAGCTGCTTTGAATTTGATTTCATACATCCATTGCTCGGGTACGATATTGGACTCTTACACCTTTGGTGGTGCTTTAAAGGTTTGCATCAACTTATTAAATCCGAGGGTTGGTTTTCAAGTACATGGTCTTATTGTCACTTGTGGTTATGAATTGGATTATGTTGTTGGAAGCATTGTTGTGGATCTCTATGCAAAACTAGGACGCATCGACGATGCATTAGCACTGTTCCATAGGCTTCCAAGGAAAGATATCATAGCCTGGTCCGGTTTGATCCTGGGGTGTGCTCAAATGGGATTGAACTGGTTAGCTTTCTCAGTGTTCAAAGATATGCTCGAGTTGGCTCATGAAATAGATCATTTTGTCATTTCAACCACTCTGAAAGTCTGCTCCAATTTAGCATCTCTTAGAAGTGGAAAGCAGGTCCATGCATTCTGTGTCAAAAGTGGGTATGAAATGGAGGGGTTCACAATAACATCCCTTCTTGATATGTATTCAAAATGCGGTGAAATTGAGGATGCATTAACATTGTTTGATTGTATACAAGAAAAAGACATAGTAACTTGGACTGGGATCATTGTAGGATGTGGACAAAATGGAAGGGCGGCAGAAGCTGTCAGGTTTTTTCATGAGATGATTCAATCAGGGCTAAATCCAAATGAAATCACCTTTCTAGGGGTGCTTTCTGCATGTCGATATGCTGGTTTGATCGAAGAGGCACGAAACATATTTAATTCCATGAAATCTGTATATGGACTAGAGCCTCATTTAGAGCATTATTGCTGCATGGTTGATCTTCTTGCTCTAGCTGGGCTACCTGAAGAAGCTGAAAAATTGATAGCAAATATGCCGTTTGAGCCAGATCAGACCACATGGCGCACTTTGCTAGGGGCGTGTGGAACTCGTAACGATACCAAGCTTATTAACAGTGTTGCTAATGGCCTTCTTGAAGCTACACCAGATGACCCTTCAACGTACGTGTCACTTTCAAATGCTTATGCGTCGCTGGGGATGTGGCATAACCTAAGCAAAGCGAGGGAGGCTGCCAAAAAGGTGGGAGTCAAAAGAGCTGGGTTAAGCTGGATTGAGGTTGCGAGTTGAAAAAAACTACTCCTGTACGGACTGCATGGCAGGAAAATATCTATTTGTAAACCTCTCTTGGAATGAGAGTCATCCCATGCAATTGGTAAAGTGAACACACATGAAAAGGAGTGGCCGCTCTTGCTACCAAAGTTCAAAGAGACTCCACCTTTATGTCTATGGTACGGTAATCACTTCGTTTTTTCACTTCTAACTCTGCACTCAACCCGATGTTTCCTGCTATATCTACTTTGATTCTGAAATTGGGGGCAGGTCGATTAATAAGATGTGAGTTTATATTATTGGGTTTTAACTTGAATTGTCAATCTCCACGAATTTTGTTACGGTTCCCAATGTTTGTAAAAGTTGATATCGATCATGTTCATTGTCTGTTTTTGTTATTATAGTTCAACATGTTACTGGGTCCTTTTCTAGTCATTTCAATCCATTCATTCTACAGAATAAAGGGAGTAAAAGATATTCAGGCATCATTCTGCTTCGTTAATTATCAAGCTGATGTATAATCAATGGTCTTTTCATCTCTGTTCAAGGACCTGGCCTGCCTTCGCGGGAAGATAACTAGTGCATAACACAGAGGATGAATCCACTGTTAATTCCTGTTAATTCAAGAAACTGTGAGGCTACTGTTTTTCTTAACCAAGAAAAAGGCAATTCTAGGCAAATTTTCATGTTCTATGTTTCTTTTTCAATGTCTTTTAGACTTGCAGGCGTAATACGTTGTTAGTTAACACGGTCGGCAAACTACTGTTTCCTGTCAAGTCTTTGATAGCTTCCTCCTAAACTGATAATCCTGTTGTTAATGGGCAGAGTGGAGGAGGAATATTCAAGTGACATAAAGTGATGATGCTAAACAACTAATCATGACATCGGTCCCAGAGAGGAAAGACGGTAAATTTCGTACATTATTATGGTTCTTTTCTTTACCCTTGAAATCCAGTTTTAGACGATCGTAATTTTAGTTGGTTACCAGCCACATCTTTGCATATGCAAAAGATTAAAATCATTGAACATTGATAAGTTGTCAAGCACTGGTTTCCTTGCATCTTTGCTGGTTTGGAGCCTAATCTGTAAATGATGCTAGTATTTTCTCGCGTTTAAAGCCCAGAAGCAGCCTTCAGACATGAACCCACCAAGTCAATTCAAACCCTAAAGTCGAGCGGGACAGAATGGATTATTCCAAAAACGAACAAAATGGTTTCTGGGCCCTGGCAAGATCCGAAGGGCCTACTGTACCCACAGTACTTCGTGAGTCTGCTAATTCTCTACCTTTTTTGTAATTATAATTAAGATGCATGTGGATTTTTTGCTCTAGACCCATTTCTCTGAGTCATGAAGATCATTTTCTTGAAGTAATTTTTATGCTATTGAACATTTTCTAAAATATTTTGCTATGATAAGGTGAGACCAACCTGTAGGATGTCATGTTTCTGGCAGAACTGTTGGTGGTAGATTGCTATCTGAAAAGAAAACATTCTTACGTTATGTTGCTTTCTTCTTGCAATCATATAACCCACTACCTAGTTTACTCGCCAGTCCATTATACGCCGTGCGCTTCGGCTCTACCTTTTTCAGGCCCGGCGTGAGGTTTCTGCTACCCTTTATTTTTTTAATGTTACCAATGACTGGAAATAAATTATAAGGATGGCCCAAAAAAGCTATCCAAATTTGGCGCCAAATGAGACCTGCTTCTTTACTAGGGGCTCTTTTACCCTGGTTTGGTTTTGTACAAAGCTCGAGTTTTTAACCTTTCTCCGAAGAAAAATGGGGTCTTAAGTTCCAAACCAAGTCAATGCTAGGCTTGTAAACTTCAATATCAAACACCTAGAGATTTCCAAAAGTTTGGCGGGTACGAGCAGTATGGGTTAAATTAATTAGCATATCTAGGATGTGAGGTTAATCCCATACCAAGCACATGGCCGATTTTGGGTTCACTAAAGCTTTGACAGCCACCATACTATTGTAATATAGATGCACCCATTTCAAGATGGCAGCCGTCAAGAGCCATGGTGAAATTGAAGATTTCCAGCTTGAAAGTTGGTTTTTTTTTTTTTTTTTTTTGGTTAACAAGAAGAAAAGAATGTTATGGACGAATGAAATTACCGTCAACGGTAGATTAAAAATGTGAGATCTCACATTGGTTGGAGAGGAGATCAAAACATTCCTTAATAAAGGTGTGAAAACTTCTCTCTAATAGACGCGTTTTAAAACCGTAAAGCTGACGGTACTGCGTAATAGGCCAAAACGGACAATATCTATTAGCGATGGACTTGAATTGTTACAAATAATATCAGAGTTAGATACTGGGCGGTGTGCTAGTAAGGACGCGCCTCCAAGGGAGGTGGATTACGAGATCCCACATCAGTTGGAGAAGGAACAAACAAAACATTCCATGACAAGGGTATGGAAATCTTTACCTAGCAGATGCGATTTAAAATCGCGTAGCAAGTTAAAAACTTGGACTTAGTCTTGGACTTGTGTGAGGACAGAAAAAGATAAAAAAGTAGAGTGGGCTTTCAATTGCCTTGAAAGACTTCACATTCGCATCCCCTCCCTAAACTGCCGACGTATGTGCGCATTATTGATGGGCAGGCTGCACCTAGGGACGAGGCTACATAGAAGTTCTTAGGTCAACTAATTTTTGTCATTAATATGTGTACCTACGAGATCATTTTTAGATTTGATCTTGAAGGAAATTTCTGAATATTTATTTACTGCGTTCTTGGAAAAGTGGACTTCTAGGTAAATGCATAATTGTTTAAAATTATTGCCTGAAGTCATCAAGTTTATAGGGAATAATTATCTTCACTCTTGTCCTCTCTCTTCACTTCTAACCATAGAAGTACAGCAAATGTCTCCATATTATACGTACAATTTGAATGTGCAATTAATGCCACCATCGGTTTGTGTGGAGATATCTCCATCTCCAAGACACCGTCGATTCCCACCCAACACACCACCAAATGCCAATTTACAAGAAACACAATACAAAGCCATTAAATTCAATATCTTTCCAAAGGCAATCAGACAAACTCTTGCCCAACAGAAGCCACTAATGGCAGCTAGAAGTTAAAACCCTCCATAAATGACAACAAAACAGGGCAATATTGCCTTGGGACTGAACACGTATAACTCATCCAAATTGGAATACATGCCTGCTGCTCCGGCCAATGAGTCATAATCCTCCATAGTGCCTTCTGAACTTTTCTTCACCCTACCAGCTATTACTCGGCAAACCAGCATTGCCCTTTTGTCATTGCCGTCCGATGATATTCCGGCACTGTCATGAGCCTTTCCACTTGTTGCTGTTGTTAGAATCCCCTTTCCAGCGTCCCCTCCAGTGGCCTCTGCCGCCACCTTGAACCCATTCTTGATTATGCTACAGACATTGCATTGTGGTATTGAACTGCAGAGGTTGGAGGAGCCATTAAGGCCCAATGAGCAGGCCAAGGTGGTGCAGTGGAACCTTAAGAGTTCGTTGCCATCTGCTATGCATCGTGGATGCTTCTTTGAAAGCTTTATGGCTTTGGCTTTAATGGAGTCTCTGTATTCCTCGAATTTCGAGATGGTCTTTGCAGTGTTCTGGACTTTGAGAATCCTTTCAATTTTGCAAATTGGGGCTTGCTTTTTTAGCCAGCTCGACTGGAATATGATTTCCACTATGTTCTTGCTTGTGTCTTCAGGACCAAGTTCAGATACTGAAAAGTTGTGCAATAAGAAAATAAGCTTAGACCTTATGAACTGAAATTAATGAATGCATTAAAGTTGCAGAGAAAAGAGGAATCAAAATCTTAAGTACCTGCATGTCTAACACTCTGGTGAAGCTCTAAAGCTTGAGCTTTCATGAAAATCTCCCCACATTCAGGACAAGGGAAAATAGTTGCTCTAAGAGAAGGATCTCTAGTCATCCCAAGAACAGGGTCAATCACCATTTTACATTCATAACAGCCATAGAATCTCCTGAAAGGCATTCCCCTGAAAGAGGTACCATTGGAGGAATTGGAAGAAGATGATGCAGATAACGATGAAGTTGTGGCTGATAGAACACCATTTTGTTCGTTCAAAGGAGGAGCTTTTGTGGATCTACTTGAACTTAAGGACTCATTGTTTTTAGAACCCATTGAAGAAGCCAATGCCCTTTTCTTGTGAGCATCCGGTGATGCTGCTACTTCAAGCCTGTATGTTACCTTAGTGTTGCTACACAGTGAACCCGAACACCTCATTTTCTTACAGTTCTTGCTACTCTCTTCTGTTGCTTGCTCCGTTTGTTTCTCTTTGCGTGGCAATTGATTCTGTTGTTGTTGTTGAGGCTGCAGGTACTTACAGCTGAATATGCCTCTAACAACTGCCCAAGACGGCGGCTTCTCTGCCTTCTGCGCCTTTGGTTTCTGGTTTTCATGGCTCTGTCTGGTAAGCTTTCTCTGTGTTTTGGGTTTAGCCATGGCAGATGCCATTTTCTTACACTGAAAATGTGAAAAAAAAAGTAGAGAAGTATTTCAAGGCAAATGAAATGGGGTTTGCTTTATCTCAAAAGATGGAACTTCTTGAGCACAAGAAGTTGAAAATGAAGCTTTGATAATAGGAGGTTAGGGACTATGGATATGGGGAGTTGTGGGAGTTTTGGATATGTGAATTTTTATTCATTCGCCATAAAGGTATCAATTTTGACTCGTAAATTGATTGCTCTGAAGACAATATCAGTATTTTATTGTTGTTGTAGGAATCTTTTTCAATATGTGGCACTGGTTTTGTTGTCCCAAGGGCCCCCATGCTTAGTTTTTTAGTGGAAAACTCCATTCAGTTTGCCTGTAAATTACTAAAAGATATGTATGCCTTTTCTCTCTAAATTCCAATTCTTTTTCTGCCTTTCGTTTTGGGATTTATCATCTTCCTTGCTCATTGACAAAACTTCAGCAGTACCCCACTGCCATGATTAGGAACATCAATTCATTTCTGCATACCCAACATGCTTAAACCCAACTTAAAGCCAATTTCCTTATTTCCCTATTCAAATACAGACTACATTCATCGTGGACTCTTCGGTGTGAAGGGTGTGAGATCCTATATTGGTTGGAGAGGGGCAAAACATTTTTTTATAAGGGTGTGGAAACCTGTTTCTAGTAGACGCGTTTTAAAACCTTGAGGGATATCTTGAAAGGGCAAGCTCAAAGAGGACAATATCTACTAGCGGTGGACTTGGGTTGTTACAAATGGTATCAGGGCTAAATACTGAGTGGTGTGCTAGCGAGGACGCTAGGTCCCCAAAGGGGATGGATTGTGAGATTCCACATTGGTTGGAGAGGGGAACGAAACATTTATTACAATTGTGTGGAAACCTCTTGTTTTAAAACCTTGAGGGGAATCTAAAAAACACAAGCCTAAAGAGGATAATATCTATTATATTGAGAGAAATCCCAAAAGGGCGAGCACAAAGAGGATAATAGCAGTGGACTTATGTTGTTACAAATGGTATCATTATAAGGGTGTGGAAACATGTTCCTTGGAAAATTCCAAAAGGGAAGTCCAAAGAATATAATTTTTGCTAACCGTGGGCTTGGATTGTTCCATTGATTCACCATTCTCTTCCTATAGGAATTTCATAAGAACAAGTCCAAAGATGATAATATCTGCTAGCGGTGGACTTAAACTGTTACATTGGATCACCATTTTCATATACGTTGAATCGATGATGTTTCTTTTAGATATACATGAGAGTAGTATTTATACTTTACAAAAAAAAAAAAGAGTGTAAAGACAAACAAATAATCATGTGAGGGGTGTTTTTTTGGGGGTTAACCAAAGTGCCACTAAAATTAAGGTACACACACACTAATTACTCCATAATGAAGGGTGCTTTGCTTAAAAGCTGCTGATGCTGGTGGTGGTGGTGTTGATTCCCTCTGCCTCAAAATCACCACTGCACCATTTCTTATGGAATAAAGCTGTCTCTGCTCTTCCTTCTTTACATTTATTTTCAATAAAAATCATTCCCTTCTTTTCCACTCATTCAAACTTCATTAACCCTAATCCTTATTTGAATTTTGAATACATGCTTACCTTTCTCACTCAAACAAACATCTTTTTGTTTCTTAAAGTCATAAATACTTTATTTATCTCTTTCTTTAGGATCGGTGGTTCAACCCCAAGTTTAATCTTGAACTTTCAATTTTATGTTTAATAAGTTACTGAATGTTAAAGTGTCTGATGGTGTGAGATCCTACATCGGTTAGCAATGGACTTGAGTTGTTACAAATAGTATTCGAGCCAGATATTGGGTGTAACGGCCTAAGTCCACCGTTAGCAGATATTGTCCTCTCTAGGCTTTTTCTTTAGGATTTCCCCTCAAAGCTTTAAAATGCGTTTGATAGGAAAAAGTTTTCACACCCTTATAAAGGGTATTTCGTTCTCCTCTCCAACCAGTGTGGGATTGTGGGATCTTACATTGGGCGATGTATTAGCAAATGTTGGGCCTCCAAGGGAGGTAGATTATGAGATCTCACATCAATTGTAGAGGGAAACGAAACATTTCTTATAAGAGTTTGAAAACTTCTCTCTAGTAAACGTGTTTTAAAACCGTGAGGAGACTCATTTTAAAATTGTGAGATTGACGGCAATACATAGCGGACAATATCTATTAGCAGTGGGCTTGGGTAAAATTTTTAATTTTGTATCTAATAAGAGACACCATACAATTTTTTAAACTCACAAACTTAACGAAGACAAGATTCAAAGTCTAGACTTGGTAAGAGCCCACACCTACTCATGATATCTAGTTCCTTATCATAATTACTCGAGATTTCAAACTTTATTTAGACACAAAATTAAAAATTTAGAAACTAAGCTTATAATTTAACGTTAATCTGTAGCTGTTAGAAGACGACTCTCGAGCATTTAAACATATAAACTATTATTGAGTATGAGCTTTACATAGTTATAAGCAACCGTTGGGTTGTTATTTCTTTGAAATTGGGTAACCTATTGTTTGAAGGATGTAAATGCAATTCAAATCTTAGAGTTGAAAAAGGGAAAAAAAAGAAAAAATTAGTTACCGCTTTTGAACACAACCTGTGAAGTACTTCTTGGGAAACTACTGTGAAATTGGCGTACGGACAATAATATATAAATTTTGGATTCAAATCAAAGGGAACAACCCTTGGCCTACTTGTACAAATTATTTATTTTTTAGCGTGTCCGAATGTCATTTTATAAATGTAAAATTGTCGGAAGAGAAGAAGAGAAATTACGCTTAAATGACGACTTTGACATCGACTCCCTCTCATTAGGTAATTATCGAGGTGAAAGTGCTTCTGTGATATCTTACATTGGTTGGGGAAGAGAACGAAACACCCTTTGTAAGGGGGTGGAAACCTTTCTCTAGTTGACGCGTAATGGGGAAGCCCATAAAAGAAATCCCAAAAACCTTGAGGAGAAACGAGGACAGTATCTGGATGAATATCGGTTCCGTTGTGTAACTCTAAAAGACGCATTTTAAAGTTTTGAGGGGAAGCCCGAAAGGGAAATCCCGTTGGGGTTTTCTTTTCCTGAACCAAAACGAAGTCTTGATTGAGCCGTCGTCTCTTATAGTTACAGCAAGCTCGAACCCTCCACACTTTTTAGCACAAGATTTTGAGTCTCGCGTGTCTACCATTTCACTAAGATTTTGATTGACTATTTGACGCTAAAATTTATTAAAATTCAAAATTGGTTTTAAAACAATGAGATATGAGTTTAAAAAAAACTTTCAAAAAAGTGTTACCCTACATAAATTCAAAATTCTTGTGGTAAAAGCCCCACAAACAAAGTAAGGTGAAGCTTCCATAGCCAAAAAGAGTTGGGACTAATTTTGTCTATACTTTCATCATCATATTGCAACCCTAAACGTCTACACGAATCACTCATTCCTAACTTACAAGCAAAGCATACGCACAATTTTGATTCCTATGATGTGAGATCCCACATCGATTGGAGAACGGAACGAAACATTTCTTATAAGAATGTGAAAATCTCTCCTTAGTTGACGTGTTTTAAAATCGTGAGACTTGAACGATTATAAATGGTATTAGAGCCAGACACAGGCAGTGTGCCAATAAGGACGCTAGGCCTTCAAGGGAAATGGATTATGAGATACCACCCTGGTTGGAGAGGGGAAAGAAGAAGCTTGGGCGGTTACAAATAGTATTAGAGCTAGACACTGAACGATGTGCCAATGAGGATGTGCACTCCTAAGGGGGTGGATTGTGAGATCCCACATTGGTTGGAGAGGGGAACGAAGTGAGGACATTACGCTCCCAAGGGGGTGGATTGTGATGTCCCACATTGGTTAGAGAGGAGAACAAACCACCATTTATAAGGGTGTGTAAACCTTCTTCTAGCAGACGTATTTTAAAGCCTTGAAGGGAAGCCCGAAAAGGGAAGCCCAAAGAGGACAATATCTGCTAACGGTGGATCTGGGCCCTTACAAAGGGGAATGAAGCGAAAACGCTGCACTCCCAAGGAGGTGGAGTGTGAGATCTCATGTCGGTAGAAGGGGAACAAAAACATTACTTCGAGAGGCTGATGAGACCAAATTGAACTGAGCTAAGAAAAATTGGGCTGTTGGCATGGTGAGGCCGAGGCTAGAGATGGGCCGAATTCAAAATAGCCCATTAGAACTAAGAGAAGCCCAAGTGTATTCCAAATCATTAATGGGCTTTACCATATTAGTCCAGAAAACGATAGGCCCAATAAGAAAGCCCACTACAATTCAATGCAATTTCAAAAACGCTCCAACAGGGGACGGGTCGAAACAAGGCGATCCTTTTCAAAATTCTCCTTCCCTCGCACCCCACACACACACACACACAGAACGGCAACACGCACACACACAGAACGGCAACACACACACACACAGAACGGCAACACACACACACACAGAACGGCAACAATGGAGGCTTCCACTGATCTCGCATCTGTAACTCACCTAAGGATCTGGATCGAGATGATTCCAAACCAGAGTGTCTGGAATTAGAGCATTTCCTTCATTTTCCTCCTCTTTTCCCTTGCTATTTTCTCTATTCTCCATCCCGAAATGCTGTTCGGAGTCGACCATGGACAGGGAGGCTAACCTTCCGGTCCCGTCCGAACTTGCGAAGAAAGTGAGCCGTCAGACCATCCCGGAAACTACGTCGTCGTCTTCATCCTCATTTTCTTCTTCCTCGCCGCCGGACTTCCTTCGACATGTTCAAGCTGCATTCAAGCGCCATCGACCACTTGGTAACCATTTCTGTGTTTAATAATTACTCGATTTATTCGAATATTTGATGATTTGGGCTGGTGTTTATGCGCTTTTCTAATTTGGAGCTAGTATTAGAAGAATTTATTCTTGTACTACTGTATCTTCGCCTCAGTTATGAGGGAAATTAGCTGTTCACCAACTAATGTAGGACATGAAAAAGGGTGGTGTTTAATTTTCTATGTTCAAATTTTAGCTTCAATCTCACGGATTTTAAATTCCAGAATCGTAAATTTTTTTGCGACTATGAGTTCTTAGGAAACTATGGTTTCTCAGAGATATTAGATAAAGAATTCGTTCTAGTTTTTGGTCTCTGGAGTTTCCAGGAATACCTTGTTTCCTTTAGACTCAAGGTTATGTATTAAATACCCCGGAAGAAATATGATTCTGCTAAGATCTCAGGCAATGGTTTTAATTTAATGGTTGTTCTTCGATCCTAAGAATTGTCTGACAATCATAAGAAATTTCAGGTGTGACGCAGACAAATAGTATAAGACCCAGGCGCTTGTTAGTTCCCCAAAGAGAGGTGTCAAGGAACCCTCGTTCGCAGGCTGGGCTTGCAGAGAATGTTAAGGAGCCTCAAAATGAAGTTTCATTGAATCAAAATCATGCAGTGAAGGATTTGATTGAACAGACGAAGAGCACAATGACTATTATTGGAGAAACTCCAGATGAATCAGTAACACCGCTTTCTATTTCAGGCCTGATGACCAAAAGCTTTGATGGAAGTTTCGCACCTGATGCCCACAGAGATGAACTTGTGCATGGTGCTGGTTGTCAATCAAGGAATGTGTCGTCCGCTTTAAATGCAGGATCCCAGCATGTTGATGGCCAAAAAATGGTTCGGTTTTCTGTTAACAGCAACAAGACATCTCAGGGTAAATACCAGTGTCTTGTATTTTCCTGTTACGATATCCTATCCTCACTTCCATGGTTTTCCACAAGCACTTGTGAAATTTTTAACTTTTTCAAATTAGGCTCTAACATTGTATAAGTTTACGGTTTTGTGCCAAGTTTTGCAATGCATATATCATTCTATTTTCACTTGTAGGGGCCCATGATCTAATGGCCTGTGGAGGGGAAAACTTATCATCTCATATGGGTTCACTTGCATTGACAGAGATGGATTGGATAGCCGGCAATCAAGGAGAAGTTTCTACCGTAATAAATCATGATGAATCTAAGCACCGAAATTTTTCGAACACAGAGTGTGAAATGAACATGAAGAACAATGGTGGGATTTCGATGCTGGCACAGAGAACACCAGCTATGGAAGATCAACTCAAGCGATTCGGAGACTTTTTGGCTCAACCTGTTAGTCAGCCTTCATTTGGACCATCTTATGCAACCACCACGTCAGTTCACTCGAGTTCAGTGCCTATGCTCAATTCAACGACCTATTGCTCTCATTTGCATCAAGAAGGTGTTGGTAATATTGCTACCGAACCTTTGAGTGGCTTTAGTGCAAATATTCAACATGAAGCTAAAAGAAATGTGATGCCAACATCAGGGTCTTCTCTAAAGGACATTAGTGGTGAGGACAAGAATGGGAAAGGCAATGATGACATACATGCTCTTAGCCGTGCTGTCGATACTGAAAAAGTTAGAAGGCAAAATGACATCTCTCATGAGCAAAGGGGAAAGTTAACTAGAGAAAGTGATATTCCAAAACATGCTTTGCAACATAATGATAAACCATATGAAGGCAAAGGTTTCATAGGGGATGCCATGGATACAAAATCAAAAGCCCAAGTACCCAAAAAGTCAGTTTCTGATGTGAATTTGGATCCTTCTGGTTCAGAGAAACAAGAAAAAGTGGCAAGTGGGAAGAGCAGTTCAACAATTCGTAAGAGGAATTATGATCCAGACTTGTTTTTTAAGGTTAATGGAAAGCTTTATCAAAGACTTGGCAAGATAGGCAGTGGAGGAAGCAGTGAGGTTCACAAAGTCATCTCATCAGATTGCACGATATATGCACTTAAGAAAATTAAACTTAAAGGTCGTGATTATGCCACTGCTTATGGGTTCTGTCAGGAAATTGTGTATTTAAATAAGTTGAAAGGGAAGAACAACATTATACAACTTGTAGATTATGAGGTATGTATCTTTACTTTAATACCTTTTATGCACGTCTTTTTCTTTCATATTTTACATCTCTCTAATTTTAAATGTGTGAATGCTGATCATCTTACTTTCTCAGCCACTGCTCAGATTTCAAGCCATGAGTAGAACTGTAAAACAATTTTTTTTTCCTCGTAGCTTTTAATTGTAAACATATTTTGCCCCATTTGATAATATTTTTTAGTTTTATGATTTTAAAAACTACATTTGTTTACTAAAACCTTTTCTTGCTTAGTTTTTCACATTTCAGAAACGCTTTTGAAATCTATGTTAAACTTGAAAAGAACAGATTTTTGAAAACTATCATTTTTCGTTTTTAAAATATGACTAAGATTTTAAAAATATTTTTTTAAACTAGACTAGGAACAAAGAAATCGTTCTTAAACACTTGATTCATAAAAACTAGAAAACTAAAACTAAAATGTTTTCCAGTAGAATCTGTGTTTGATCAATTTTTGTGTCTAAACCGTGGAATAGCCATCAGTCACTGATGTTTATTTGTGTCAGGATTAACTAAGAATCTGTCTCTTTTGTAGGTAACGGATAGGACTTTACTTCAGGAAGTATTGAATGGCTCCACGAATAATAAAGATGCTAGGGTCAAAGATGACGGATATATATACATGGTGCTAGAGTATGGTGAAATTGATTTGGCTCACATGCTCTCACAGAAATGGAAGGAAATTGACTCGGATCAGATAATAGATGAAAACTGGCTTCGATTCTATTGGCAGGTGATCCCTCCTTCCAATTTAGAATCAAATTGAGCAATAATAATAAGTGCACTTTTATTAATGTTCATTTTACTATCTTTCCCCCTCAGTGTTCTTAGTCTCCAAAATATGGCCTGAGCATTTAGTAACAATTCTTATCGCTAACTAATGGTTTTAATTTGGCCATTTATTTTCATTTTCTCATACATCACATCCATTAAAACACCACAGTACACCCCGTGTTTAGACACAATTGTATCACTATATTATTATGGGAATTGGAAAAAGAAAAATCAATCTTGAAACTACAGAAATTTCATATTTGATTAGTTATATACTTATGGTAAAAAAAAGGATTACCACACACACCCACAATATTCCAAATCAAGCATCTGAGGTTCTAAAGCTTATTAATTTCGATTCATTGTGATGAAGCGCTTACCTTATGTTATAGCTTTAAAATTTTGTTTATTATGAGATTTGTTGCATATGCATTGTTTTGATTGGTCGTGTAGAACTGGATCCTTTCCTTTAGCTGTTTGGAACCTTGTTCTGTTGGAGAAATTATGTACCGCTGCGTATGTTTTTTTTTGCCGATTAACAAGTCTGCATAAGTTACATTGAAAATGTTCGTATACATGGCAGCAAATTCTACAAGCTGTGAACACAATACACGAGGAACGCATAGTTCACTCTGATTTGAAGCCAGCAAATTTTCTTCTTGTCAAAGGCTCCTTAAAACTAATTGACTTTGGTATTGCAAAAGCCATAATGAGCGATACAACCAACATCCAAAGGGATTCACAGGTGAATATGATTTTACGCCCTTCCATGCTTTTGTTTTTACGTGGTAACTGTACAGAATATTGCATCGTTCAAACGCAAAATTATATTCTTGTTCTGGTTTTTGAATTTTTCCGTATCACAGGTGGGTACACTGAGTTACATGTCACCTGAGGCATTTATGTGCAATGAGAAAGATGCAAATGGAAACACCATCAAGTGTGGTCGACCATCTGATATTTGGTCCCTTGGCTGCATTCTTTATCAGATGGTTTATGGGAGGACCCCCTTCTCCGAGTATAAGACGTTCTGGGCTAAGTTCAAAGTTATTACAGACCCAAATCATGAGATTAAATATGAACCCATTGGTAACCATTGGCTTGTTGATCTAATGAAGAAGTGCCTTGCATGGGACCGCAATGAGAGATGGAGAATTCCTCAGTTACTTCAACATCCTTTTCTCGTACCCCCAGTCTCCCCACACCTATCCTTATCTCAACACCAGAGTTCCAAACTTCTGCAACTCATTGCAGAAACTTGTGAAAATGACCAGGAAGCCTCATATCTATGTTCTCAGCTTCAACAACTGCTCATTAACTCCGTGCAGCCGGTGACATCTCTCTTAATAACTTCTAAAGACGATCAAAGCGAGCTATTTTCCCAAACGTCAAAGAACTTTTTTCTGCAACACAAAAATCTAGCTACTCAAAGATGAGTGAAAATCTTAATTTTGTTCCTTGTTCAAGGAATGGTTTCGAGTTCTCTTCGGCCTGCACATTTTAGATTTGAGTAGCTAATGATTGATAGAATGTGAGATTGCTCCTTGGTAGATACTTCTTTTGCCTCTCCAGGTTCGGTGCATTAGAACATACTCCCGGTCGGAAGGGTGGATGATGAATTTAACACCTCTGTATTGTTTGCCAGTAGTGTAGAATGTATATTGTTATAACTGTGTTCTTGGCTTTGACGATGTAAATTGGTTGTAGTTTTGTTCGAGAGCTTGCCATTTAATGTTTCTTCTGAGATTCAACACAGAAACTATGCATTTGAACATCTATCGAAATTTGACATATTTGCATAGGTATCAGCCTGCATGGCATATAAGCTTGATATATATAATCATGCTTGTCCAAGGCATGTTGTTTATCGCTATATGGCAAATGTCCCTGTCTTGTTTATCCCGGACGTGTTGTCCAAGGTTGTATTTCCGTTACAAACTTCTTTTACGTACTTTCATCTTAGGTAAAATGTCCCAAAATGTACCATAGAGGGCTATGACTAGTTGTCACTTTTTTAGTTATATGCTAGGTTGTATATCCGTTACAAACTCCTTTTACATACTTTCATCTTAGGTAAAATGCCTCAAAATGTAATAGGAATATGACTAGTTGTCACTTTTCTAGTTATATACTATTTAAGCTATGATATTTCTTTATTTGCTTATAGTCATATAACTTTCTTCAATTCTTCAAATCATTTTCAAATGTATATCTTTGCTCACGTTTTCGAAACCTTTTCTCACGTGACTTGAGGCGAACATAGCCGACATTGTTCGCAATGTTTGAATTTCTGACGACTGACTTGTTTGTTTAGTTAGAACAAACAAGTGTTAAATGATTACTGTTACAAGAGTGCGATTGTGACACTAGTCCTTATACTTTCGAAATCTCTCTTAAAACATGTGTATATACACCCTATTGGATGTAATTCTTCTTTTTCACTCAATTGCTCAATGACTTTAGGAAACCCAAGTAATTTGCCGATGAATTTGAGATTTGAATTTGGAGAAATTGAGTTTTCAGCCTGATCGTCATTTTTGTATTTATAGATTTGATTTGATGCATTTTTGTAATAAATTTGATTTAGAATTCGTTATTTGTTCTTATATTCATAGATTACTTTGAAATAAATGGAAGCAGTTGGAGTCGTAAAAGGCATTCATTCATACTTGCGTAGTTATCCAACTTTATAAGAGATGAGCTTGTCTCGTATGGCGAATCCGAAAGAATTTTAAAGTCACAAGTCGCTTTCACTGATTGGAGTCAGTGGACGATATACGTCTGCAGAGCTCGCAATTGTCACGGCCACGGCGGAGCTTACACTACATTCAATATCCAAGAACCAGCGGTCTTCACGATCTACGACCTCAATGCATCTGTATGACGCCAATTTATCAACGCGTTCTTGACGATAAAACCCATATATTGTTTTATCCGCACCAACTCCAGAATCTCGCAACGGATGCTTTTTGAATGAGAAACAAGATGCTCATGTCATGTTCTTAACTAACCCACTTCGCTGTTTCAGCTGGCGAGGCTCCCGCTGCTTTCATTCCATCATAAACTCTCCCTCTTTTAGGTCTCCGATCAATACAACTGCTTCAGCGCCCACCCCAGGTTTGTTTCTTGCTTGTTTCGATATATTTAGAAGTAGTTTTCCTGATATTTTTGGTTCATTATGTTGATTTGAAACGAATTTTACTTTGCTGAGGTTTGTCGAACTGTTTCATAAAGATTTATGATTCTTTTCTGAAAAGAAGTTGAACAGCCATGTAGGGTGAGGGTTTAGAGGATTGAAATTGGTTTTCTTCTGGAAAACAGGGACTTCCAGTAAAGTGAGTGAAAAAGGGAGATTGTTCTCTCTATTATCTGGTTTAGCAATGGAGACTAGTTCAACTTGTTCGTTGGTTTTGAGTGGAAAAACAGAGGCTGAGAATGAAACTGCCAAATTGCTGAAGAGGAATGACACTTTGAAGCTCCCAGACGATATCGAAATTTCGGTTTCTTTGCACTCAGAAAGGGATAAATCTTTGAAGGAAAGTGGTTTTCAGATTGGTTCATATATGAATTCTCTTTCTACTGATACTTTTGGTAGATTCCTCATTTGGTGTTCACGGATTCCTTCAACTCAAGATGTAATTTCTCAGTAAGTGTATGAAGACTTCTTTTTGTTTTTCGCCACATTACTTTTTCGTTCATCGACGTGCAAGCTAACTATTAGTCTGCAACAGGAACTTCAGCGATCTCCCATTGGGAGCTGTCTGTGTGGCTGATGTTCAGTTCAAGGGAAGAGGTGCGTGGTGCTAATAAGCGAGACTGGTAACATTGTTTGTTAGATATGGAATTCATCTTTCTAATGTAAATCATTATGTGGATTTAAATGAAGGTCGATCAAAGAATTTGTGGGAATCTCCCCCTGGTTGCCTAATGTTTTCCTTTACCATTCAAATGGAAGATGGCCGTATAGTTCCTCTACTACAGTATGTAATATCTCTAGCTATTACTGAGGCTGTAAAAGATATTTGCGACAAAGAGGTAACTCTTGTCATGTTTTGGCTGATATTAGCAACTCTTATTGTTAAACCATGGCAACTCTATTATAATCAGTCTCCTAGTTGAAAATTTTGATCAACTAGTGATGTTAATTTAATAGCGCAGGGATGTCTCAGTGCCCTGATATGCTAAATTACCAGAACTTTAGAAGGGGCTAGAGAAAAACATTTGGTCATGGAAGGAGGAAACAGTTTGTTGGAAAGAATCTGGAGGAACTTAAGGAATAGATAGGGGTTTAAGTCATGTTACAAGTATTATTTCGTAAATGGGGCTGCACTTGAGTTGAGATTAATACCTCTCATATTGCAGGGTTTACCTTACATTGACTTGAAAATAAAATGGCCAAATGATCTTTATGTGAATGGCCTGAAAGTTGGAGGCATTCTGTGCACATCAACATATAGATCAAAGAAGTTCAACGTTACTGCTGGTAATTGTGTTTGTTTTCTTCCATCCAGGCCGTTTTCCCTTTCCCAATTGAAACTTAGTCTCCATACCATACCTTACACCAATTTGAAAGGCCTAGCGTCGCTGTGATATATTTTATTTGCTTTATGTTCTTCCAGGTATAGGATTAAATGTAGACAATGATAAACCAACCACATGCTTGAATGAAGCTCTTGCGAATTTATCCAGTACACCTTACAAGTTCAGAAGAGAGGATATCTTAGCATTCTTCTTTAACAAATTTGAAGGACTGTATGATATCTTCATAAATCAAGGTATTCATATGCCAATCTAATGTCTTTCACATGATAAGACATTGTCAAATACATGCATGGATTTAGAGCTTCTCCTTCAATCCAACCTTAACAATGCTCTGGAGTTGATTGTAAGCATGAAATTTTATAGTAGCAGCTAATACCATTTGCAAAAAGAATTTGAAATTAGCCCTCTTTCTCTTCTTTTTCCCCCATGGCTGAACATGTTGTTGTGAACATCATTCTATCACTTCATGCTGTTCGATGCCTTACGGTTTTGTGCATGCTATGCATTTTGCTTCTACTTATGGCATAAAGGATAGGTGGACTTCAGATGAATGAGTATCCGTGAAGGAAATCTCCCCATATTTTCTAGTTACATTTCCTTCAAATCTGTAAAGATCATAGCTGTATGTAATATTTCCACTGGAGGGAGAGGGAGCGAGAGATAAGATATTGTTCGTTTAGGATGTAGATTTTTAATCGCGTTCTCTCGTGAAAAAGCTAGAATTTTGTAGCACGTCGTGCTTATCAGTCTCAAGTTTGTTCTGCTTCAGTTTCTAAATTTCCCTGGTGACCTCATTCACTCTAAATTTGTGTAATGCCATTTTGTTTTCATCATTTCTGAATCATTAGGGTTTCAGGCTCTTGAGGAACTCTACTGTCAGACATGGTTGCACAGGTAACTCATGATGATTGATCTCTTTCTTTTTATATATATATTATCAACATGTGCTCTGTTCCAAGATTCTCACGATTATACTTAGTTTGCATTGTCTATACATTTGTTGTCATGGGAACCAAAAACATCCTGGAAATGGACTATGTTGTTTGATCTTTACGCAAGTTATACGTCACTTGTTTCAAACATTTTGTTGTGTACATATATATTTATGGCATTTAATGCTGTGCGAGTTATACCGAGTAGTTCTTACAATTTTTTGTTACATCTTTGTATGTAGTGGGCAAAGAGTTATTGTACAGGAAAAGAAAGAAGATCAAGTAGTGGAAAATGTAGTCACTATTCAGGTACGTTATATCTGAATGATAGCTAATTCTTTGTCTTCTCTAGTTTTTACTCGAATACTGCAGACTTGATCCCACTACTCTTTCTGGCTCTTCACTGTGGTTGTTTATATCTTTCCGGTTCTAAAGAAATGACCTTGTCTCCTGCAGCTAATTGTCATGTAGTTATTACTGTTAGATAATCCTATTCCTAAAGGGGCGGTCTTGTTCAAATATTCAATATCAATTTCTTGTTCAACTTTGTAATGGAGAGTGCTAAATTGTGAGATCCCACGTTGGTTGGTTGGGGAGGAGAACGAATCATTCTTTATAAGGGTGTGGAAACCTCTCCCTAGCACACACGTTTTAAAAACCTTGAGGAGAAGCCCGAAAGGGAAAACCCAAAGAGGACAATATCTGCTAGCGGTAGGCTTGGGCTGTTACATATGTTATCAGAGCCAAACACCGGGCGGTGTGCCAGCGAGGACGCTGGGCCTCGAAAGGGAGTGGATTGTGAAAACGCACATAGATTGGAGAGGGGAACAGTGCTAGCGAGAACGCTGGGCCCTGAAGGGGGCCGGGCGGTGTGTCAGCTAGGATGCTAGGCCCTAAAGGGGGGTGAATTGTGAGATCCCACATCGATTGGAGAGAAGAACGAGTGCTGGCGAGGACGTTGAGTCCCACATTGGTTGGGGAGGAGAACGAAGCATTCTTGATAAGAGTGTGAAAGTCTCTCTCTAGCAAACACGTTTTAAAAACCTTGAGGGGAAGTGTGGAATGGAAAAATCCAAAGAGGACAATATCTGTTAGTGGTGGGCTTGGGCGGTTACATAAATGCACTATGTTCTATGATTTTCATGGTTTTAAAAACAGGAACTGTTTTCATAATCACAAGTTTGCTTGTTTCTTTATACAGGGGTTGACACCTACAGGATATTTGCTAGCTATTGGAGATGACAACCAAATGTGCGAGCTCCATCCCGATGGAAATAGGTTAAGTATTTGAATGAATTCCTAATATTGATTTAGTTAATGGACTATGTTGTGCTTTAATTGACTATATGTAATGGGTCAAAGCGGACAATATCTTCTAGTGGTGGATTTGGGCTGTTACAAATGGCATCAGAGCCAAACACCGGACGGTGTGCCAGCGAGGACGTTGGGCCCCCAAGGGGGTGGATTGTGAGATCCCACATCGATTTGAGAGAGAAACGAGTGCCAGCGAGAACGCTAGGCCCTGAAGGGGAATGAATTATAAGATCTCATATCAATTGGAGAGGAGAACAAAACATTCTTTATAAGGGTGTGGAAACCTTTCTCTAGCTAGACACGCTTTAAAAACCTTGAGGGAAAGCTCAAAAAGAAAAGCCCAATGAGAACAATATCTGCTAGCAGTGGGCTTGGGCTGTTGGAGATACAATGTGATATTACAACATCTATGTCATATCGATTGCTTTGTGAAACTAACTCTCAAGATCGAGAGAGTTCATTGTATGCAGTTTGTCCCAACCTTTCACCAAAAATCTGGTCACACAACATTCTAAATTTTCTCCCCCTTCCTGTGTATATCTTAGATGCTTCCAAAAGGAAAAGGTGTATCATAACTAAACTAAATCATTATTATTTACTAAATTTACTGTGAAATTGATTCCAAATTCATACATGACTAAGAAACAACAGTGGTCAATAAAGTTAAACATCTTCAAGCTGCTTTAGAATCAATCATAATGATTGCAAAGGAAGTGACTGCCTTGTTGGATGAAATTTTTAATTCTGATATAAACTCCTTAAAAGTCCTTTTGAACTGCACGCCCTGTTTCTGCATCGCATCCATCAGCTCACAACCCCAAGCATTTAACAAATTTGAGCATTTGAATGACTGCTAAGATCTATCTCAAATCTGATGATCATCTCATTTTCCTGTTGTTCTACAGCTTAGATTTCTTCAAAGGACTGATCAAGAGCAAACTGGTGTGAGAATACTGCTTGTTCATTCTCTAACAGATGGCTGACTATGAGCTATATGGAATGGAATCTTATGCAATAAGAAGAAGTAGACACTTGCTTTCATTTACTTTTGGTGAACATCTCTCTGTTTCTATGGTGGAGTAAAGAAAGATGAAAAGATTTTACCTTTTATGATTAGACAATGAGATCTCTACTGAAGTTGTAAATATTATTCATCTTTGAACTTACTAAGAAGGGTCCATGGTCCATAACGTGCTAGAGTTTTGTATCATCCTGTTGAATGTGCCTTAATTCCAAGTGGGACAGCTTCCAATTGATGAACACTGACCCCACAATTGCTATAATCAGTCAGTCAGTGAGCATGTCTTTTTGTTAGAAACTTGGGAAATTCTCTGCCAGAACTTATCTGAACTTTACGACTGTCAAATGAGTGTAAAGGAACAGAAGGACAAAAGATTCTTGTGGGAAGGCGCCATGTCAGACCCAGAAACTGGTATGTCTTCTTCTGTGTATAATTCCTAACGGCTGTTGGGGCTTTTTGTTTAGGGTTTCACTATCAGAAAGAAGGAAAGGGGTTGGCTTTCCACATGGAGAAACAGTGGATGGATTGAATAAACAACAAAAAAAAAAAAAGTACGTCGAATTATACGTTCTGTCTCTAAACTCTTAGTCCTGTTCTCTGTAGTCATTCGTATTGGAACTGTAGTTTCTTGTCGCTTTTACCGTGTATCGGATTGTAGGATCCCATATTGGTTGGAGAGGGGAACAAAACATTTCTTATAAGGGTGTGGAAACCTCTCGCCTCCCTATAGATGCATTCTACTAGCGGTGAGCTTGAGTTATACTAATAGACTAAACATTTTATAATGATGCGTGATTAGATCTTTGATAGTGTTGGGTGAAGGTTCGAATATATGATCTTCTTAGTCGATGATATGTGTCTTAACCATTTGAGTTATAATTAGGCTGATATGAACCTAACGGGATGAAACGGTATCAAACTTTGGGCGACCCCATGTACTTCAACCCCAAAAAAGGCAGCTTTGTATTGTTTTAGGTGGAGTATGGGCCATGCCAGCACTGTGTTGGGTGGTGGGAGTGTCGTGATGTGTAGAGTTTGAGGCAATCAAGAGCTGCAAAAGGGGAAGTCTTGCTGTAAAACTAGGTTTGTGTTCACCTTACTGTAAAACTCGTTATCTCGTCGCAACGTTGTGTTGTCAGATCTAAACTATCCTTAGAACGCTCGTTTGTTCACAACCCTGAAAACTTTCGTACTTTCAAAAAGTCTATTTTAATCGGTCACTATTTTTGTTCCTTCACTTTCTTTTAAAACCATTGACATCAAAATCGTGTTTCTGATGAATCAGAATTATCGTAGCCAAATTGATCTTTATCTGAATCAAATCCTCAACGGATCGATTCTTTTAAATTTTATATTTTAAAGCGGAGATATCGACCGGGTTCGATTGATTTTTGCTCTTTAAGCTTTAACCCTTTTACTTTTTACTGTTTTGGAGGAATATTTTGGTGAAGGAGAGGGGGAGAAAAGAGAAAGTGGGTTAACAGGTCAAAAGGAAGTCTTTATAATTTTAAATTAATAAAAATATTTATATTTTATCTCAAATATAAAAAATAATTAATAAAACTCTAAAATTAAAATTAAAAATTAGTACGAATTTTTTTTTTTTTAAAAAAAATCTAGAATAAATTTAAATAATATATTTAAATTCTTAATAAAAGTTTTAAAAAAAAGTATTTTCGATAATTTATTAAAAAATACTAAAATTAAATTTTTACTTTTTACATGTAAATAAAAATTTCCACCTCATAACTAAAAAAATAAAAAATTAAAATTAAAATTAAAATAAATTATTGATTAGTCAAAGATTCTGGGCATAATCGCAGTGGACCAAAGAAGATTGGAGAGAATTTTATGACATATTTATTCTTTTTGGCATTATTATTTTATTATTTTATTTTAATTTGGAATTATGCACATTTCCATAAAGATATTAAAAATGACACCTATCACGCGCCGAAATTAAATTCCTAATTTCAAAGTTTTTAAAAAACGCCTCGATAACTTAAATTCCCATTTCCTTTTTAAATAATTAGTTTTTTACATTTTTTGTTTTATTTTTCTAATCTTTTTGCCTATTTATTACATTATGTAAATTATATTATTTTTTATTTTTCAATTTTCTTTCCTTATTTTATTAATAATTTGGATTTTGTAAAAAAAAAAAAAAAAAAAAAAGTGATTGGATTTCCTTCCCTAATCATTAGGATTGCAAATCCCTAATCATTATATGAGACTTCCATCAACTCTTCATTATTTTATTTCATTTTAATATTATATTCTTTTTCATCTCAATCATCAATTATCCCAAAAATAATATAAAATAAAATCTTTCATTTTTTTCATGAATTTAAATTTAAAATTATTTTAAAATATTTTTACGGATAGTACCCGTCTTAAAAATACTTTTTAAAGTAATATTTAAATATTTATATATAATCTATGAGATACCGATAAACAATATTGGTTCATATAGTGACAGTAAATTTTTTTTTTTTTTTGTTTATTTTTAAATTTTTATTAATTTAGTAAATAATAATAATAAGAGGATAAATAATAAAAGGGGAGAGTAAAGAGGGGATGCGGTGAATGAATATAAAGGTGCCACGTGGAATAAGTTAGTTGACTGGAGTTTAAAAATAGTCAAAGTAAAAAGTATCTGTCCGTGATCATCTGCTCAGAGAAGTGCCCTATCATCTTCCTGTTTTTTCCACTTCCGTGCCCGACCGTCAACTGAAAGTGACGTCATACACCCTTCCAATCACGTGCTCTCTTTCATGCTGCATGTGATCACTTCTTTTTCCTTTTTCCTTTTTTTTTTTTTAAATATTTCCCTTTCAATTCCACGTGTAAATAATGAATTGGCCAACTCTTTTCTTTTTTTCAACTTTTATTGTAAAATTGGTAAAAATAAAAAATAAAAAACATATATTCAATTTTCTTTTAATGTAAGTTACACATTATTTAATAATTTATGCTCCGACAAAAAAATATATATATATATATATATTTATTACACTCATTTTTTATTAAATAGATTAGGCAATAAATCTAATAAACTAAAATATCATTTTAAAGTTATTTTCGTATAAATATTGTCAATCAATTGAGCTATGTTCATATTAACTATATAATAAATGTTGATTTAATTAATATGATTGTTATAAGTATTTTTAGCGACATTTAATTATTAATATTTTAATATAAAGTAAATATTCAAGATTGGTGAGTATAGATTAAGACTTTATAAGAGAAATTAACAACATTAATTAAAATTTTCCTATGTTTGGTGGGGTTGGAAATAACGTTTAATTAATTATGATCCCCTAAGTAGGTTTGTATAGACTAAACATGATTAGTATTATTTTATTTTATTTTTATTATTATTATTATTATTATTATTTTTAATAATTCTATATTAATTAAGGTTCCACAAATTTTCCTTAAAACAAATTAATTGAAATATTTAAGGGTTAAGGGACGTTGAATCACGATCATATAGACGGAGTGGTGTTGGGGGCGTGGATGTCATATGAAGTCGACCCTAGGGCAAGCCTAGACCGATCAGGGATCTTGGGTTCGATCCGACCCCAATTTCTCTTCGTCCTTTTATGCATATTCTTATATTTCAATTTCATATGCAACAATCTAAATTGATACCGCTCGTTTAAGATGACTTAAAATTTAATGTTAGAATAGAATAATGAGTATAGGTTGAGATTAAAAGGTACATTCGTTTGCTTACTATCTGTCATTTTAATTTTCTTTTATATATATTTATTTAAAAATAATTTATATGGATTTAATTGATATATTAAATTAATTTAATCAGAATAGTCATGCAGAGACAAAATATATAACTTAACCTAAATATTAAATAAAGAAGACTTAAATATAAGTATTGAACGATATAGTTCGTCTATTTGAGTATAACTCGATTGATCAATAATTTATAATATATAGTTTGATTATAACGCATAAAAACAAAAGGGAAAAATGATTGTTCAAAAAATGGGAATGTGTGGCTTTCAATCAATAGACGGTTGATTTGACTTTTTTTTTATTATTATTATTTTAATTCGTAATCTCGAAAAGTGGTCTTAAAAATGCACGCAAATCATGCTATCCCTTTCTACTTGGTGGCCCAATTATAATCATAGTTCATATCATATATTATCAGTAGTATTCTAGAAAAGTTAGTAGATGAACTTCAATTGGTTACTGAATAATGAACCCAGCCCGACTCTTGATTGTTCGGATTGACCTTCCAAATGTGGAGTTTTTGTTTGTTTGGCCTCGTGCTCGAAGGTTGAGAAGGAGAATCGAATTCGAGTTGAGGCCTTGTCCGAGTCTTCATTCAGTCGGTTTTGGCCTCAAAAGTTGATGAACTTTGATGATTCTTGAACCTATAGATTCGTGAGAGGACGTTGCACAACATTGTAGAAAGAGCCCAAGGGAAAGAGATCAAGCAATTAGTTTTGTACGTATCTCTCTCATTTCTCTATGGTTTCTGATGAATCCTAAACTGTTGTTTTTAGCTCGAGAAGCTCCATAATTTTGATAAAGAAAACAAAAGTTATTGAAGTACATAGCAACCAACCCAAAAGAACGAAAAGAAAACGTATAGTTGAAATAATTACGAAAGAAAAACGACATTAATTCAAGTATTGTGGGCGAAAGAAAATGAGAGAGAATTGAATTGAATAATAATGCAAAATTCATAAGATTATGAACACAGACACATGCATCTATAGTGGTGCATACAGTGGACAAAGAAGAGACGAAAGCAAATTTTGGTGATATTTATTCTCTGAATTGATATCTCTTAAGGCAGCCCCCAGCCGCACCTTCAGCACCAACATGGATGAATTTGAGTGGTTGCCGTCACAAATGAACTTTAAATTCGAGTGTTAATCTTGATATAGTAAAATAGGTTATATACGAGCGTAGACGAATTGGATATTAATTAACTCTGAAATTATGCCTATAAACATTAACTTCACTTTAATACTATATTATCAATCCAAAAATATGAATGGATAAATTATAATAAATTTAATTTTTAATTTATGTATTTTGAGTATTTATTTTATTTTGTTGGTTCTAGGAACAGTATTGCGTCGAAAAAGTACTGGTTCTATAAGAGTATAGTATAGAATATTCATGACTTGAATGTACGTTACATGTCATTGCTCTATTGAAAATTTACGGTCATATTGCCCAAAAAAAATATTTAAAATATTGATTTTCTTAAAAAAAAAATATTTATTCTTAGGTTAAAAATTTTTAATTCTTACCTTTAGCTTTTTTTATTTTATTTAAAAATAATTTTCAACTTTCAATAGAAAAAAAAACCCTATATAAATTTTATAAAAAAGAATAATTTTAATAACGAGTTTTTTTTTTTTTTTTTGAAAAAGATAAATTCAAACAAAAAAATATATAAAATTATTAATTCATTTCTGTTTCTTCATTTACGTATTAAAATAAGCCAACAAAATAATAATAATAATAATAATAATAAATGAAGAAAAATCCAT